ATAAGGTCTAATTGGTTAATTACACAGTTCTTTCCTTTTGCATCTTTGTTGAATTTCTTTCTAGTTTTCCTGTCTTTTAGTGGGAGTACTCTCCTATTACTATTGTGATATTTCTTTCTTTCTTCAAGTCTGTTAAGGGTTTGCTTTGTGTATTTTGAAACATCATTTGGTGTGTAGATATTAATTAAGGTATGTCCTCTTATTCTATTGTGCCTTTGAGCATTATATAGCATCCTTCCTTGTTTTTACCCTAATGACTATTTTATCAGAGATTAATACTGGCACTTCTGTTTTCCTCTGGTTGCCATTTCCGTGGTATATTTTTTCCACTCTTTGATTTTTAGTCTGTCATTGAATGTCTATGTAATTCTTCTATCCCACTGATTCTGTGTTTTATATCTTCCATTCTGCTCTTTTATCTCTCTCATATTGATAGCTTCTGTAATGTTGGTCTTATAGTTATGGATTGCATTTTCATGTTTTTCTAGTGTCATATAAGCTGTATCCTTTGTTTGGTAATGACTTTTTAAATTAATTCTCTTTGCTTGTGGCTTCAACTCTTTTCTCTGGTCATTTGTAGCTTCTTGAACAACATTTCTCAATTCTACCTCAAAATGTTCCTTCAGCCTTCCTGCATCTGGAATATTCATTGATTCTGTGATCTGATCTCCTTTATATGGTGAAAGCTTATTTGGTTCTTTGTGGAGTTTGAGGCTATCTGCTGCTTCAGGGACACTGTGGTGGTAGTGGTGGTGGTGTTGTAGTAGATGTATTTTGGCTTTCTTCTTGACATGTGTGTGGCAGCTGTTGGTATCTATGTAGTGTTGTAGTAATGTTCTGAGAGAGGTAGTTACTGTTTAACACTAGCCAGCTTGTGCATATGCTGATTAAGGATTTTTTGGAAGATGTGACAACTTCAGCCCAGCCTTCCATAGGGCCCACAATTAGCCACTTGGTAGGGTTATACAGGTTTTGCCTTTTTTTATGTTGACCTAAGCAGAGGAATTTCTGAGACTTTTCTTTGAATTAGGGGCACCTCTCTGTGTTGGAGTATATCTGTTTCTGGGTAAATACCTTTGTCAGTATGCCTTTAAGGTATGGCTACAAGGGAGTATAGTTTAAAATTCCTAAGCTGACAGTTGCTATAGGGCAGGTCCACAAACCAAGGAGTTGGGGGCCTACTCCCAATAGTGAGGCTAGCCTGGGCTTCCAAGGCCAATCAGAAAGGATCTGGCAATATTTCCACAGGATCACAGGTTGGGGGCTCACTATAACACACAGGTCTCTGGTGGCATCAGTAGTTATAGTTATTGTGTTCAGGGTCTGCTGCTCAATGGGAATCAACAAACACAGGATTTTCACCCTCTATGCAGGCCCTGTCACTCACGATGCTGTACTTCAAGATGGATCTAGAAATTACTTTTTTTACTATGAAGGCAACCCCATTTTTTCTTGTCTTTTCATCTCCAGAGTAATATATCATATGGTCATCTGACTCAAAATGCCCCATGCCAGTCCATCTCATCTCTCCAATGCCTAATATGTCAATATTTATGCGTTCCATTTCTTTCTTAACAATTTCTAATTTTCCTACATTCATGGCTCTCACATTCCATGTCCCAATCACTAGGGTCTGCTTACAACTGTTCCTCCTCCTTTGTATTTCCATACTTGATAGTTCTACCTAGGTTGCCCTTTCTGTTAGTCTGCGTGTGTTCTGTTGTGCATAGGGTTTTCAGAGGCCTGCTGTTTCAGAAGTGGGTGGCCAATCCTTCTTCCTAGTCTGTCTTAATCTGAATGTTCAGATTTAGAGGAGTATCTGACAGACAAGCAATTTGTGGAGCAGTGAAAGATAAATCCCTTATTGTGGAGTTAAGCATTAGTTACAACTCACCAAGTTGTGCCAAGAAATCTGGAGAACAACCACTTGGCCAACTGACTGGAAGAGATCTATATTTGTTCCCATTCCAAAGAAAGGTGACCCAACTGAGTGTGGAAACTACAGAACAGTGTCATTGATTTCACATGCAAGCAAGATTCCACTGAAGTTTATCCAAAAATGATTAGAACAGCACATCAGCAGAGAACTGCCGGAAGTCCAGGCTGGGTTTAGAAGGGGTCGTGGTACTAGGGATATTGTAGCTGATATGAAATGGATCTTAGCTGAAAGCAGGCAATACCAGAAGAATGTCTACCTGTGTTTCATTGATTATGCAAAGGCGTTTGACTGTGTGGATCATAACAAACTGTGGCTGACTCTGAGAAGAATGGGAATCCCAGAACATTTAATTGTGCTAATACGAAACCTCTACTTGGACCAAGAGGCAGTAGTCAGAACAGAGCAGGGTAACACTGCATGGTTCAAAATAGGGAAGGGTGTACGCCAGGGATGCATCCTGTCTCCATACCTTTTCAACATGTATGCAGAGCAGATTATCCGAGAGGCGGGGCTCTATGAGGAGAATTGTGGCATCAGGATTGGTGGAAGATCTATCAACAATATCCGTTATGCAGATGACACAACCTTGCTTGCTGAAACTGAGGAGGACCTCATGCACTTGCTGCGAAGGGTCAAGGACTGCAGCCTTCACTATGGACTGAGGCTCAATCGGGATGGGTGTGTCAGTGTCAGTGCGGTTGGCACAGGATAGAGCACGGTTTAGGGCTGTTGTGCATAGGGTCACTATGAGTCGCAAACACCCATCCCGATTACCCCAGTCACCGAATCAATCCATCTCATAGAGGGTCTTCCCCTCCTGTGCTGTCCCTCCACCCTCCCAAGCATGATGTCCCTCTCCAAGAACCGGTCCCTTCTGACAACATGTCCAAAGTATGTCAGACGAAGCCCCAGAATCCTTGCCTCCAAAGAGTAGCCTGGTTTAATCCTCTCCAAGATGAATCTGTTTGTTTTCCTGGCAGTCCATGGTACATTCAGTACTCTTCTCCAGCACCACAGCTCAAAAGCATCCACTCTCCTTCTGTCCTCCCTAGTCACTGTCCAACTCTCTGATGTATAACAAGCAATTACAAAGACCATGGCCTGTATCAGGCGCACCTTAGTCTCCAGAGAGACACCGTTGCTCCTGAGTACTTTAGAGAGGTCCCTAACAGCAGACTGCAGGCCCTGCCCTTTCCTGAGGACAAGTAATTCAAGATGGCTTGTCGTGCTTGGGCGTTTGGGCGTTTCCTTCCCAGGTTCACAGAGGAACCAGCCTACTCTCCACATGGGGTGGGGGGAAGGTCTCCCTTCCTGGGGAAGGTGCCCTCAGTACTTTACAAATTCAAATGGAGGTCTGCTGAAGTGTTTGTGCAGTGGAGAAAGAAGAAGTCCTCTGACCGCTGTGGTGGTCACCTATATGCTAGTAAGATTTTGTTTCTCTCTTTGTGAGGCTAAGCTCTGCATGGTCAATTTACAATGTTGATTACCAGGTCCTCACCTGAGTCTTCACTCTTTCTCCTGCCCAGTTTTGCTTTCACTAACATACCCTGAACTTTAAGGTGCTCAGACTGTCTGTGGTTGGGATTCTGTGTGAGTATTTTATGCCCTTACTGGAGAAAGGCAAGTCTTCCAATCTGACTAGCTATCCCACCAGGCACCCCACAGTCTTTAATGCTCTACAAAGCCCAGATTATTTGGTCCCCTTCCAACCACTCTGATTTAATCTCTATTTTCTCCTTCTTTATTCCATCCCAAGTATGCATTTTACCTGCTGTTTAGTGAACATGTTGGACATGTTTTGTATCACTGCCTATAACACTTTTCCCTTTAGCTTGTACCTGAATATCCTTTAGATCTCTGCTCAAATGTTGTCTTTTAGTGATACCTACCCTGATTTATTTTCATGTCTAACTTTCTAAGCTAAGTATTGTCCATTCCTTTTACCTTCTTTTTCTTTATGGTACTTATCACACTACCTGTGAGTTAAATGTTAGTATTAACTCTAGGCTGATCCTGGCCTGCTTGGGAGAATCACTTTGTGTCTTCCTGATCTGCTGAAAGACCACACCTGAACTGGTAAAATTTTGAATGAACATAAAGGTTTTGGGTTTCATGGTAAAAAAAGATATGTAGAAAACTGAGGTTGCAGTTTTTCTGATTCAAGATGACTTATGTACACTATGCTTCTTGTCCACAGCAGCTCTCCATGTTCTATGTGGGTGAGGTGACAAAAGAAAGCTTATACCCGTATAGCACATAGGCCTCTCAATGAAATAAAAAGACCTCCCATTCTGTAGTCTTATGTAGGTCTGTTGTTGTTGTTGTTGTTGTTATGTGCCATCAAGTCACTTGCGACTCATAGCGACCCTGTGTACAACAGCCCTAAACCCTGCTCTGTCCTGTGCCAATTGCACTGCCTCTGACACACCCATCCCGATTACCTCAGTCACTGAATCAATCCACCTCATAGAGGGTCTTCTCTTGCACCGTCCCTCCACTCTCCAAGGTAAATATATTATTAGATTAAAAGTCTACTATAATTTGTGAGTCTAACTGCCAATTTAAATCCATAGCAATTATTCCTTAAGGTACTACTGTACATATTACATTGATTTCTTTGTCTTTTTTTAGTATGTCCCATTAGAACAGAAATCCACTTAAGAGTTTTAAGTATTCTTATTCACTATTTAATCTTCAGATCCAAAGGAGACAGAAGAAGAAAGAAGAGCCAATAAAAAGGAAACACCACAGAGGAGGAGATCTAAAGCTTCATAAAGCCAGAACTAGTCAACTATATAAAATAATACAAAAATATTAACTATAATCATAATAAATTAAAAACCTTACTTGGTAATTTGAAGGCATTAATAGTCATAGAGAAAGTAAGTTTTGACACAGTAGTGAGAACAGAAGCTAAATTGCTAAAATATGATCAATGAGTGGTACAAAAGTAACAGTAAGGATAAACTAAGGATAAACTAAGCACTTAAAAAAACCACAGACTATATACTAAGAGGAAAAGCTAACATGTTTTTCTAGAAAGAAAATATAAATAACTTACCAATTTCTTGTTGTGATGAATGAGGATTTACTTTTGCTGCAGAATAATGACCATTAGCCTGAAAAAAAATTTCCATGAAATATTACTTGTGAAGTCAATAGAACAGCAAGTATACCATGGGCCACCAAGAAAACAAATAAGTCGGTCTTAGAGAGAATGAGACCAAGTTTCTTCTTGGAGGCTAGGATTTTGAAGCTCTGTATCATACATTTTGGGCATGTGGTCAAGGAGGAATCAGTCCTTGGGGAAGGACATCAGGCTTTGAAGGTGGAGGGACAGTGTAGGAGAGGAAGACCCCAGATGAGATGGATTGATAACAGTAACTGGGGCAGTGGGGCTGGGTGTGTTGCAGTCAGTGAGACTGGCTCAGGATAGAGCAGGGTTCAGAGCTATTGTACATACGTCACTATGAGTCTCAGGTGATTAGATGGTACATAATAACAAGAAAAAATAGAAACTGATTTTTTTTTTTTACTTTCATATAAAACTTGCTGTTATGTGCGGTTGACTTGGAACTAACTCAGAGATGATCCTCCAGCAGGTTTTCAGAGGCAGGAATTTGCACAGGACTAAATGGCCCATCCTTCTCTCATAAAGTAACTGGTGGATATGGACGACATGCCTTAGAGAATGCAATGCAATTTCTTACCACTAGGCCACCAGAACTCCTTATTGTTGTCACTGTGTTCTATGGACCCATAGCTGACCCTCAGGAGGGTTTTCAGAGGCAGTTAATTGTATGGGAGGAGACTGCCCATCTTTCTTCTGCAGAGCAGGTGGTGGATTCGAACTGCTTGCCTTCGGGATTGGCAGTGCAGCTTCTTGCCACTAGGCCATCAGGGATTTGTTGTTGTTGTAAAGTGCTGTTGAGACACATGTGACTTATAGCGATCCTATGTACAACAGCCCTAAAACCTGCTCTATCCCGTGCCAATATTACTGTCTCTGACATACCTATCCCCATTACCTTAGTCACTGAATCAATCCACCTAATTGAGGGTCTTCCTCCCCTGTGCTGTCCCTCCACCTTCCCATGCATGTCGTCCCAAACATTTCCAAAGTATGTCAGACAAAGCTTCAGAATCCTTGCCTCCAAGGAGCAGCCTGGCTTCACCCTCTCCAGGACAAACTTATTTGTTCTAGCAGTCCATGGTATATTCAATACTCTTCTCCAGCACCACAGCTCAAAGGCACCAATTCTCCTTCTATCATCCCTAGTCATTGTCCAGCTTTCTGATGCATAGCAACTAACTACAAAGACCATGGCCTGGTTTAGGTGCATCTTAGTCTCCAGACTGACAGCTGCTCTTCAGTACTTTGGAGAGCTCTCTGACAGCCGACTTTCCCTATGCAATTCGTCTTTTAATTTCCTGGCTGCTGGTATCAAGAGTGTTGATTGTAGAGCCAAGCAAATGGAATCTGTTAACAATCTCAATCTCTTCACCATCTATCATGATGCTGTCAATTGGCCCAGTGGTAAGAATCTTTGTTTTCTTGATGCTGAGTGTTAATTCATATTGAAGGCTACAGTCCATAACCTTCTACAGCAAGTGCTTCAGGTCCTCCTCAGTTTCAGCAAGCAGGGTTGTGTCATCTGCATAACGCCAACTGTTGATGAGACTACCTCCAATCCGGATGCCATATTTCTCCTCATAGAGCCCAGCATGCCGGATAATCTTTTCCTCATATAGATTGAAAAGATATGGGTTAGGACACATCCTTCCCTATTTGAACCATGAAGTGTTTCTTGCTCTGTTCTGATGACTGCCCCCTGGTTCAAGTATAAGTTTTGCATAAGTACAATCAAGTGTTCTGGGATTCCCATTCTTCTTAGAGTCAGCCACAGTTTGTTGTCATCCACACAGTCAAATGCCTTTGCATAATCAATGAAACACAGATAGACATTCCTCTGCTTCTCTTTGCTTTCAGTCAAGATCCATTTAACATAAGCTATAATATCCCTACTGAACAGCCTCTTCTAAAATAAACCCAACCTGCACTTCAGGCAGTTCTGTTGATGTGCTGTTCCAGTTGTTTTTGTATAATCTTCAGCAGAATCTTGCTTGCATGTGATATCAATGATACTGTTCGATAATTTCTGCATTCTGTCAGATCAACTTTCTTTGGAATGGGAACAAATACAGATCTCTTCCAGTCAGTTGGCCAGGTGGTTTTCCTCCAGATATCTTGGCACAACTTGGTAAGCACATCCTGAGCAGCATCTGTTTTAGAGCAGACAAAATATAACTTTGCATGTAGCACATTGTTGTTATGTACCATCGAGTTACCTACCTGCAACTCATAAAGACCCAATGTACAACAGCCCTAAACCCTGCTCTATCCTGTGCCAACCTTATTGTCTCTGACACACCTTACCCCCATTAACCCTGTGACTGTACTGATCCATCTCATGGAAGGTCTTCCTCTCTCTCCTGCGATGTCCCTCCACGCTCTCAAGCATGATATCCCTCTCTAGGGACTGGTCCCTCCTTGCAACATGTCCAAAGTATGTCAGACAAAGCCTCAGAATCCTTGCCTCCAAGGATCAGCCTGGTTTCACTCCTCTGGGATGAAACTGTTTGTTTTACTACCAGTCCAAGAGTATATTCAATACTATTCTCGACCATCACAGCTCAAAAGCATCAATTCTCCTTCTATCATCCCTAGATTCTGTCCAGCTTTCAGACGCAGAGCAAATAACTGCAAAGAGAATAGCCTGGATTAGGTCCACTTTAGTCTCTAGACTGACATCACTGATCTTCAGTACTCTGGAGAGGAGCATGACAGCAGACTTTCCCAGTGCAATTCATCTTTTGATTTCCTGGCTGCTGGTACCTAGAGTGTTGATTGTAGAGGTAAGCAAACTGAAACTGTTAACAATCTCAATTTCTTCACTGTCTATCATGATGTTGCCAATCGGCCCAGTGGTGAGAATCTGTTTTTTGGGTTTTGTTGTGTTTTTGGTTGTTTTTTGGGTTTTGTTGGTTTGTTTTTGTTTTATTTTTAAGAATCTGTTTTCTTGATGTTGAATTTCAGTTCATATTTAAGGCTGCAATCCCTGAATTTCTGCAACAAGTGCTTCAGGTGCTCCTTAGTTACAGCAAGCAGGGCTGTGTCATCTGCATAACACAGATTGTTGATGAGTCCTCCTCCACACCTGATGTCACATTCTTCCTCAGAGAACCTAGCCTCCCGGACAATCTGTTCTGCATATAGATTGAAAAGGTATGGAGAAAAACCACACCCTTCCCAATTTTGAACCATGTAGTGTTTCCTTGCTCTGCTCTGATGACAGTCTCCTGGTCCAGGTATAGGTTTCTTATAAGTACGATCAAGTGTCCTGGGATTGCCATTCTTCTCAGAGTTAGCCAGTTTTTTGTGATCCACACAGTCAACGGCCTTAGCATAGTCAATGAAATACAGATAAGACACACCTCTGTTACTCTCTGCTTTCAGCCAAGATCCATATAACATTAACTATAATATCCCTAGTACCAAGGCCTCTTCTAAATCTAGCTTGCACTTCTGGCAGTGCTCTGTTGAGTGCTGTTCCAGTTGGTTTTGGATTATCTTCAGGATAATCTTGCTTGCATGTGATAGTAATGATATTGTTCGATAATTTCCGCACTCTGTCTTGTCAGTTTTCTTTGGAATGAGAACAAATATGGATCTCTTGCAGTAACTTGGTGAGCACATTAAAGGCAGCATCTGTTTACTGAAGTATATCAACTAGTATGCCATCAATTCCTGAGGCCTTGTTTTTTGTCAATTTTTTCAGAGCAGCTTGAATTTCCTTCATCACCACAGGCTCTTGTTCATATGTTGTTTCATGAAATTCTTCTGTGTCCACTAATTCCTTTTAGTACAATGACTCTGTATACTTTTTCTATCTTCTTTTAATGCTTCCTGGAGTATTTAATATTCAGCCCAAAGTATCCTTGATTACAGCAACTCTAGGTTTGAATTTGTTCTTCAGTTCCTTCAGCTTAAGAAATGCCGACCAAGATTAACCCTTCTGATTTTCTGACTACAGCTCTTTGCACATTTCATTGTAATACTTTACTTTGTCTTCTCACCCTGCCCTTTGAAATCTTCTGTTCAGCTCCTTAATATCTTGACTTCTTCCCTTGGCTTTGGTTTCTTGGTGCTCTAGTCCAATATTAAGATTCTCATCTATGATTCATCTTGGTTTTTTCTTCTTCCTCTGTCTTTGTAATGACCTTTTGCATTCTTCATAGATGATATTCCTCCCATAACTCATCTTGTCTTCACTCATTATTCAAAGCTTCAAACCTGTTCCTGAGATGGTTTTGAAATTCAGGTGGAATAGACTCAAGGTCAAATTTTGGTTCCTGTGTATTTGATTTCATTTTCCTTAGCTTCAGCTTGAATTTGCATGAGTGGTTGGTGGTCTGTTCCACAATCAGCACCTGGCCTAGTTTTCAGAGCTGATAATGAGTGTCTCCAGTGATTCTTTCCACAGATATAATGGATCTGATTGCTATGCATACCATCAGGTGAAATCCATATGTATAGCCTGAACATTACTATGTTTAAAAAGACATTTTCAAAATAACCTGTCACTTATTTACAAAATATTGTTTTGTTAGGTGTCATCAAGTCAGTTATGACTCACAGCAACTCTATGAACAACTGATTGAAACTTTGCTCTATCCTGTGCTGTCTTCACAATATTCTCCATTCTCAAGCATATTCATATGCAGTCACTGTTGTCAATATGTATCAATGAGGGCTTCTATTTAATGGATCTTCTACTTTTCCAAGCATGAATCTATCCCATCTGAATTTTAAAACTATCTCCAAAATAGGCTGGATGCCTTGAATAGGAATGAGAACAGATGAGCTGTAGGATTACATCAATAATAATATCACTGAAGAATGTGAAAGATCATTACTAAGAGGAAGAAGAAAAAAACCAAGATGGATGTCAGGAGAGACTCTAAATGTTGCACTAGGATGCTGAGAAGCCAAAGTAAAGGGAAGAAATCAGGAAGGTAAGGAGTTTGACAGATTTTAAAGGGCAGCTCAGGAAGACAAAGCAAAATATTACAATGAAATGTGTAAAGAGCTGGAGTTAGAAAGACAAAAGGGACAAACGCACTCAAGATTTCTGAAGCTGAAGGAAGTAAAGAATAAATTAAAACTTCAAGTTGCAATATTTAAAGATGCTATAAACAGAATACTGAATGATTCAGGAAACATCAAAGAAGATGGAGGAATACACAGAGATACTGTACCAAAAAGAACTGAATGAGACAGAAGAATTTCATGAAACAGAATATGATCATGAAGCAATGATGATGAAGAACGAAATTTAAGCTGCTCTGAACAAACTGGCATAAAATGAGGTCCTAAGAATTGATGGAATACCAATGACATATTTCAACAAACAGATGCAGCCTGGATGTGCTCACAAGTTTGTGCCAAGAAATCTGGAGAACAGCTTCCTGGTCAACTGACTGGAAGAGATTCATATTTATTCCTTTGGTCTTCTCACTTAGTTGGTATGTTTCAGAGAGGTAAACAATGACTAATAATGACAGTAGAAGAATCAGTGCCTTGAATTATGGTGCTAGGGGAGAATACTGAACCTACCATGGATTTTCAAGAGAACAAACAGGTCTATTCTGGATAGGGTGAAAACAGGTCGCTCGTTGGAGGCAAGAATTGAGAAGTTCTGTCTCAAATACTCTGGGCATGTTGCCAGGAGGGGCCAGTGTTTGGAGAAGGACATCTTTCTTGATAGGGTGGAGAGTCAGTGCGGGAAAGGAAGACCCTGGATGAGATAGATTGGCACAGTGACTATGGCAATGGGGACAGGTGTGTCAGGAATAGGGTTCATATTGTTCATAGCGTCACGATAAGTTGTAGTCATCTCAACAGCACATAACAACAACAGCAACCTTATCTTGAGAAGGAGGTCCAAAGCATTTGAGGCTAAGTTTCAACATGCTTGCCTCTAAGGAGCACTCTTATTGTACTTCCTCCAAGTTGATTTGTTTTTCCTTTCAGCAGTCTATAGCATTTTTTCACTATCACCACCATTCAAAGGCATTGGTTCTGCTTCAGTCTTCCTTATTCATTGTCCAACTTTCAGATGCACAGGAAACAAGTGAAAATACATAGCTTGGATGAGATATACCTTAGTCTTTAAACTTGCACTGTTGCTCTTTAACTAAGGATAGCAGATATTCCCAGTTTAACAGTAGTCTTTTTATTTCATGACTAGTGCTACCAAGAATGTTGATGGTGATTCAAGTAAAATGAAACGTGACAACTTCAAATTTTTTCTCCATCTGTCATGATATTTTTGGGTGCTCTGAAGACCCAAGTGGCAGGAAGCTGTGCTGCAAACCTTGAAGGCATGCTAGGCCACCAGGTGCTCTCACAGGAGAAGGACAGGCAATCTCTTCCCATGTGATTAACTGCCTCTGAAAACCTGCTGGAGGGTGAGCTATGAGTGGGTTCTGATTCTACAGTACACAACAGCAACAACATGATATTAGGGAGCTCTAGTGACCTAGTGGATAAGGAGTTGCACTGCCAACCAAAGGCAGGTAGTTCAAATTCACCAAAGCTCCAAAGGAGAAAAATGGCTGGTCTTCTGTGCAATTTACAGTCTGAAAACTCACTGGAGGGTCAGCAATGAAAGAGTAAGTTCCAATTTGATGATACATAACAACAACAAAAAACTAAAATTACTTGAAGTTTCAGTATACACATTTCAAAAATAAAATTTTACCTGCCTGTATTACCTGATCTGATGCAATTTCAGAATTAAACATAGAAGAATCAAATAAATTCAATCCAGGAGATCTAGAAGTATAACTCAAAAGAAAAGAAAATCCAGGAGAGTCCTTTTGTGTTTGTCCTTCAGATACTGTATTTCTATTTCTGTAACAGAGAAATAAAATACTTTAAAAAATATATTCTCAAGCTTTGCAGACTGATAAACATCATAATCAACACCACTAAGGTAAAAATTAGCACAATAAAGAAAGGTACAGAGTGAAGTTACTGAAATTACAAATCTAAGGAGATAACATGGGTATGTTGTTGTTTACCGGTGAGTTAGAATTGACTTGTAGCTGACTTCCTAGAGGATTTTCAGTGGCAATTATTCACATAGGAGGAGAAGGCCCGTACTTCTTCCATGAAGCAGCTGGTGGATTTGGACCATGTGCCTTTGGGACAGCAGCACAGTTTCTTATCACTAGGCCACCTGAGCTCCCTTGGTATAACATGGATTTGTTGTTGTTGTTATGGGCCATTGACAACCCTATTATGTATAATAGCCCTGAAACCTGCTCTATCCTGTCCCAACTTTACTGTTTATGATACATCTACCCTCATTATCCAAGTCACTGAATCAATCCATCTCATTCTCTTTCTCTGTCCTTCTACCCTTCCAAGCATGATATCCCTCTCCAAGGACTGGTACCTCCTTGCAACATGCCCAAAGTATGTCAGATAAAGCCTCAGAATCCTTGCCTCCAAGGAGCAACCTGGTTTTACGCTCTCTATGATGAACCTGTTTGTACTCCTGGCAGTTTAGGTGGAGAATAACATCAAATAAAGTAGAACAATTAATTCAGGGATACTAACACTTAATATCTGCTGACAATATACTATCAATCTCTATTCTTGGAACTTTGATAGGTATTACTTAATTATTTCTCAAAATAATCACAAGAAGTACTTACTATTATTATCTTCACTGCTATTTTAAAGAAGTGCATTTTCAAACACAAAAAGTTAAATGATTTTCTCAAAGGCATGCAAGTGCCAAAACTGGAACTTGAATGATGCAGACATCAGGGTGGGGGTATGACAGAAAAAACTGGATAAATTATGTATATTGCATTGAAACAGATGAGGGAAAGAACAGATTAGAAGTGATATATGATTGAGTATTCTGGTTAGCACAGGAATCCAGAATTAAGGTTGCACAGAGAAGTGTACTCGGAGTGGGGGGTGAGGGGGAAGGGACGTGGGAATTGTATACTAATGAAGGAATTTTTTTTTTCTCTTTGGAGGGGGAAGCGAGCTGGTGGGGGGGGTGGGCAGGGAGAAAAGTGCTGCAATGAATGAATGGAAATCCAAAACCTCAAAATTAATAATAATAATTAAAAAAAAAGAATAAAAATTCAAGTTCTTAACCTCAATGCTACATTATCTCCAAACACTTTGAGCCTAGTTACAATTACTGAAGAACAACATAGATTTTATAGTACTTGATTTCAGGGTCTACTACTATGATAGACACATAGATTAATGAACTAGAATTGAGAACTCAGAAGAATTTCCATCCACCTATGGGCAGCTGTTCTTCAGTTCCTTCAGCTTAAGAAATACCTAGCAAGTTCAGCCCTTTTGATTTTCTGACTTCAGCTCTTTGCACATTTCATTATAATACTTTGCTTTGTGTTCCCAAGCTCTTTGAATTCTGTTCAGCTCCTTAACTTCTTGGTTTCTTCCCTCTGCTTTGGCTTCTCAGTGCAATATCCAGTCTCTTCTGATAGCCATCCTAGTCTTTTCTTACTCTTCTGTCTTTAAAATGTCTTTTTGCATTCTTCATAAATTAAATTCTTTTTTTCCCCAGAAGATTAAGGCAAAGCACTTATTGATGACAATTAAAGACTATATAGACTATGGTACAGATTACACTTCGGTATCCTTCAGTTATGAATTATACTTCAATATAAAGAAACCAGCATCCTTACAATAAGGTCAATAAACAACATTATAATAAAATGAGACAAGACTGAAATTGTCACTTATTTCTTTGTACTTGGATCTACAGTCACTAATTGTGGAGGTGGTTGTTCATAAATTATATTCTTGCTATCATTCCACAGCTCATCTGGTCTTCTTCACTCAGTATTGAAGAGCTCAAACCTGTTCCTATGATGGTCTTTAAATTTTGGTGAGATATACTCAAGGTCAAACTCTGGTTCATGTGGATTTGATTTTCTTTAGCTTCAGTTTGAACTTGCAGATGAGTAGTTGATGTTCTTTTCCACAATCAATACCTGGCCTTGTTTTCACAGCTGATATTGAGCTTCTCCAGGGTTTTTTCCCCACAGATGTAATCAATCTGATTCCTGTGTAGAACACCTGGTGAAGTCCATGTGTACAGCTGGTGTTTACATTTCTTATAAAAGGTATTTCCAATGAATATCTCATTGATTGTACAGAATTCTATCATTCTATCTCCAGCTTCATTTCTGTCATCAAGTCTGTGTCTTCTGACTACTGATCTTTCTTCCCTGTTTCTAATTCTTGCATTTCAGTCACACATTATTATCAAGGTATCTTGGTTGCATATTCCAACAATTTCTTACTGCAAAAGTTGGTAGACGTCATCTGTTTCCTCCTCTTTGGCCCTGGTTGTTGGTGCATATATTTGAATGATAGTGTTATTAACAGGTCTTCTTCGTATGTGTATGGATATTATCCTGTCACTCACGACATTATATTTTAAGATGGATCTAGAAATGGTCTTTTTAACTATGAAAGTGACCCAATATTTCCTCATCTTTTAATTTCCAGTATAGTAGATCATATGATTATCTGATTCAAAATGTCTCATGCCAACCCATTTCATTTAGCTCATGCCTGATATTGTTATTTTTAGGTGTTGCCAAGTCAAATACAACACAGTGACCTTATAGACAAAGATCTGAACCCTGTCCTATTTTGCACCATCCTCACAATTCCTGATACACAAAAGCCCATTGCAGAAGACACTGTGTTAAAGCCACCTGGTTAATAGTCTTTCTCTCCTTCACTGACCTTCCACCCTTATCAGTACCATGTCCTTATCCAAGGGATATAAATATTTATCAAATATCATTTCTTAAACTGAAGGAACTGAAGAATAAATTTAAGCTTCAAATTGCAATAGTTAAGAAAGCTGTGGGCTTTTTTGTTGTTGTTGGATGACCCAGGAAGCATGAAAAGAAGATGGAAGGAGTATACAGAGTCACTCTACCAAAAAGAAATGGCTAACACACAAGAATTTCATGAAGGAAATGACAAAGAACAAAGCACCAGGAACTGATGGAATGACATTTTTCAGCAAACAAATGCTGTTGTGGACATGCTCACTAGGTTATGTAAAGAAATCTGGATGACAAATTACCTGGCTGACTAGAAGATATCTGTATTTATTCCCATTCTTTTAAAAAAGTGATCTGACAGTGTTGAAATTATCAAACAATATCACTAATATCACACACAAGCAAGATCCTACTGAAGACTGTCCAAAAGCAACTGCAACAGTACACCAGCAGAGAACTGCCAGATATGCAAGCAGGATTTAGAAGAGGCTATGGCACTAGGGACATAATAGCCAGCGTTAGATGGATTTAGGCCCAAAGCAAAGAGTACTAGAGGAATGTCTATCTTTCACTGACTGTGAAAGGCATCTGATTGTGTGGATCACAACAAACTGTGTCTAAGCTTGAGAAAAATGGGAATTCCAGAACACTTAATTGTGTTCATGCAAAGACTATACTTGGAGCAGGAAGCAGTAGTCAGAACCGAGCAGTTCAGGATCAGGAAAGTTGTGCATCAGGGATGCATTCTATCTCGTATCTTTTCACTCTATATGCAAAATGGATTGTCTGGGAGGCTGGACTTTATGAGGAGGAGTGTGGAACCATGATTGGAGGAAGACTCATCAATAACCTGCATAATGCACAATCTTGCTTGCTGAAACTGTGGAGAACATAAAGTGTATGCTGCAGAAGGTCAGGGACTATCGTCTTCGAAAGAGGTTGAATATCAACATCAAGAAAACAAAGATTCTCACCATTGGGCCAACTGGCAGCTTCATGATAGACAGAAAAGGGATTAAAATTGTTAATAATTTCAGCTTGCTAGGTTCCACAATCAACACTCTTGGCACCAGCAGTCAAGAAATTAAAAAAAAAAAAAAAACAAGTGCGAAAGGAAGCCGGGATGGCGCTGTTGGGAACAAAAGGCTTCTTCCTTGGTCATTCAGGTACTTTGGGGGGTTAAACGGCTGTCTGGCTTGACCACGTGGGACCGCTTAACTTGGGCAACAGGGTGATCCTGGGCATCTTGATAGAGGTGAGAAGCCGCTTCCTCCTTGGTCATGCAGGCACTCTGGGGGAAAAAATGCTGTCAGGCCCTCAGCCTTGAAGGCCTTGGGCCAAAAAGGGACACAAATATATAGGTGCTCTCAAAAGATTGTTGTGGACCAACGTGAACATCTGAGAGCCACAGGAGCAGGGAGCCTCATCAGGGAGCAGCATGCCTTGGTGGGGAACAGCGAGCAGTGGCGAGGAGCAGGGAGCCATAGCGGGAACCACCCTCCAGGAGCAAGCCAAACTGCACTCAGTGATGCACTCAGTGGGGATCATAACTTACTGCTGGACCAATTTTGGGACACCATCACCTTAAGCAGGAGGGAGTGAGACAACTGGAGCTCAATTGGGGTGGTAAACACAGTTCTCAAGAAAACCAAGGCTTTCTAGTTTTCCATTCAGGTCCTCCCTCCACCCCACCCTACGTGCATCTGTGTGCACGTCTCCCCCTTCTTGCCACCCATGCATGCGTCTGCACATACACCCACACCATGTGCATCTGCTTGTGTGCCGATCCAACCTTCTTCTGGAGCAGTGATGTCAGATCAAGAACTGGCTATCACCTCAGGCAAGAAATACTCTACCAAAGCATTGTCCCAAAAGAAGCAGGTTACCTGACTCCCCACACAAGCCCAAAACAAGGTATCAACCCCTAAAAGTGACAGAGAGGCAATGGATTTCCTGAAGCCTGAAAGTCTGATGGAACTTTCTGACAAAAAATTTAAAAGAAAATGATTGAATATTCTTAATGGATGAAAGGCAAACTTGAAGAATTACAAAACACTCCAAGCAAAAATCAGGAGGAGCTTAAAAAGAAATGGAATAGAAGATAGTATTGTCCCCACGGATCTGCTAAAGCAAAAAGCAGAATCAAAAAAGAAGGAAACAGAAGAAAACCCAAGAATAATGTGGGATACCATCAAGAGATATAACAGGCATCATCAGAATGCCAGAACAGGAAGAAGCCAAGTAAAGGCACAGAAAAAGTTGTGGAAGAGTTACTAGAAGAAAACTTCCCAGAGATAATGAAAAATGAGAGAATATATATTCAAGAAATTGAGTGAACACCATAGAGAATATACACCAAAAGAAAAACACCAAGCATGTCATAGTCAAAATTGCCAGAACCAAAGATAAGGAGAGAATTCTGAAAGCAGTGAGGGAGAAATAGAGATAAAGGAGAGCAGATAAGATTAAGTGCCAGTTTCTCAGCAGAAACCATATGAGCAAGAAGACAGTGGAATGACATATATTGAACACTCAAAGATCAAAACTGTCAACCAAGAATACTGTACCCAGCAAAATTGTCCATCAAATATGAAGGAGAAATCAAGATATTCCCAGAAAAATAGAACCTAAGGGAGTTTGTAAAAATAAGACCAGTGTTGCAGGAAACACTGAGCGACATCCTTTTTACAGAGGTGCCACAGAAAGCAGGATGGACACAAGTAACTTGCAACACCACCAAAAAGAACTCAACAAAATGACAACAATGAAACCTTGCCTCTCAATGATCACACTGAAGGTGAATGGCTTAAATGCACCATTGAAGAGAAAAAGAGTAGCAGATTGGATAAAAAACCAAAATCCATCAATATGCTGTCTTCAAAAGACACACCTGAAAAATGAAGATAAACACTAAAAATAAAAAGTTGGGGGAAAAAATAAACCAAGTAAATGGCAACCAGAAAAAAGCAGGAGTGACGGTATTTTCAATAAAATATATTTCAATGCAAAAACCATCATAAAGGACAAAGAAAATCACTACATAATGATTAAGGGGTCAATAGAACAAGAAGATATAACAGTAATATCTATGCAACAAATGAAAGACCTGCAAAATACATAAAACAAGCATTAACAAAACTGAAAAAGGAAATAGACAACACTACTATAGTACTTGGAGACTTCAATACACCATTCTCAATTAAAGAGAGAACTACCAGAAAGAAACTCAACAAAGACACTGAAGAATTAAACCACACAATAAACCACATGGATCCCATAGATATTTATAGGTTAATGCACCCCAAAAAAACACAGTATACCACCTTCACCAATGTGCATGGAATGTTCTCCAGAATAGATCATGTTTTAGGACACAAAGTAAGCATCAATAAATTCAAAACCATAGATATAATACAAAGCACCTTCTCAGACCACAATGCTACAAAATTAGAAATTAATAGCAAGAGGATAAAGAAGGAAAAAAACCGTACATTTGGAATTTGAACAACACCCTGCTTGAACATGAGTGGATACTAGAAGAAATACAAAATGAAATTAAAAAGTTTCTTGAAACAAATGACAAAGAAAACACAACTTGCCAAAACCTCTGGGAAACATCTAAAGCAGTTATTAGAGGTCAATTTATAGCAATAAGCAAACACATTAAAATACAAGAAGAAATGCCATTGACTCTCTAATCCAACATCTCCAACAAATTGAAAAAGAACAGCAAGAAAACCTGGCACCCTCTAAAAAAACCAAATTAGAAAAATTCGGACAAAAATAAATGCAATAGAAAACAGAAAAACAATTGAAACCATCAACAAAACCAGGAGTTGGTTCTTTGAAAAGGTCAATAAAATTGACAACCCACTAGCAAAACTAACAAAAGAAAGGAAGGAAAAGACATAAATCATCCTAAAAAGGGATGAAACGGGCAATGCCACAACGGAACCAACTAAAATGAAAAGGTTAACAATGGAATATTATGAAAAACTAAAACAAATATGAAAACCTAGAGGAAACGGACAAATACTTAGAAAATCACAACCTACCTAAACTGACACAAACAGAAACTGAACACCTGAACAGACCCATTACAAAAGAAAAAACTGAAAAAGTAATAAAACAATTTCCAGCCCAAGAAAGCTCTGGACCAGATGGTTTTACAAGGGAATTTTATAAAATATTCAGAGAAGAACTGTCACCAATTCTATGTAAACTATTTCAGAATGTAGAAAAAGATGGAATTCTCCCAGACTCATTCTTAATTATTTTCCCCAAATCATTGTTTTTATAATTTGACAACCTTATAAAATAATCTTTAATGGCAAGCATCTCATCAAGATTAAAATCTTGTGACTTTTTTTTTTTTAACTTCTCTTTCAGTTGTTCATTGTGTGAAAATTTACAAGGCAATTGATTTTCCTTTCAATGATTTATCCAGGTTTTGTTTTCAAATATTAATTATAGTTTCCGCACTGTAATAACATCATACTACTTCACTTCGATTCTCATTTCCATTAATTCTCTATCCTACTCTTTCCTGCCTTCTAAGCTTTTTGCCTCAGCAAATACTGCTCCTCTTGATCTTGTATGATTGATCGTTCTAAGGGGTGAGTACTTCTCTGGTGTTACTGTTTACCTTATAAGCATATGTATATTTTGGGTAAATGTTGAACTACAGGTGTTGAGTTTTGTCCCAGGCTCAAAAGATTCCTTAGGGTCATAGAGTCTTAGCAGTAACACCAGTTTCTATTAGACTGGCAAGGCTGGTAATTAAAAATTTCCCCCTACTTTCCCAGTGCAATGTGTCTGTATCCTGAACAAATTGTCCGAGAAGCTGGACTTTATGAAGAGGAATCTGGCATCAGAATCAGAGGGAGACTCAGCAATAACCTGTGTTATCCAGATAACACAAACTTTGCTTGCTCAAAGTGAGGAGGACTTGAAGCACTTGTTGCAAAAAATCAAGGACTGCAGCCTTTGGTATGGATTACATCTTACTGTCAAGAAATAAAGATTCTTACCACTGGACCAACAAGAAGCATCATGATGGATGGAGAAGAGACTTAAACTGTCAACTTCATCTTACTTTGGTTCACAATTAATATCTTTGGTACCAGCAGTCAGCATTTACACATATATAATTATTTGCTAAATAAAATACTTGTCTAAAATTACTACCAGAACTAGATATATGATCATGAATGAGTTATTTAACTTTTATAGGCCATAGTTTTCTCACTAATAAAGCCTTTATTACACCACATCAGATTAAATGCCATTGAGTTAATCAACTTATCAATTACATGCAGGAAGAGATTGTCATCTTTCTCCTGTGGAGCAGCAGCTTGATTTGAACTGCACTCCTTTGGGTAGCTAGAGCAGTTTCTTACCACTAAGCCACCAGAGCTCACATTTCAATGAAATTTAAGTGTACAAAAAAAAAAAATTTAAATGGGTGCAGATTACGCATTTGTGATTTACAATTTTAATCATTAGTCATGTTGGAAATACCTGTTTCCCAAAATGATATTTAAAAGAATACAATTCTTGCTTCACACACATAGAAGAAATAACCAGTAAAATTCATCACATTATCCTATGATGAATTCACAATCTACCATTTGTCACTGTAGGTTTTCAGTTTAAATTTTCCCATAACTATTTCTATCTTTGAAAAATATTAAATCTATATACTATTAATATAAAGAATACTCAAAATCTATACCTTCTTCAGCTAAATGTTACAGAAAAATTTTAGGAGAGGGCCTATGAAACATTTAGAACAGCAGAATATTAATAACTGTTTGAATGAGAATGGTGAATAAGTAGTTTCATTCCACTAGTTTCCTTCTTTTATATGTTTGAAAATTTTCATAAAGTTACAGATGTAAAATATTTTTCTATTTCTATTAGTTAAGTACATAACCTCATTTGTAAATACTTTAAATTGTTAGTTAAAAATCTTACATTTCAAATGTGGGTGTTTTAGGGAACTGCAATTTCTCTAAAGATTCAGGAGTTTTCATAGCTTCAGAAGTTTTTAAAGATAGAGGAGTTTCAGGAGTTTGGGGTGCATTTTCAGCGCTTTCTTCTATTTCATTAGTTTTATTCTCCACTGGCTTCTCAAAGTGTTCTGAGTATGTAGCCTGCAATGGAAAAGAACAGGAAACTATAAAAATTAATGTTGCTATAAAAACAAAATCATGTCTAAAAATTTAGAAATACCATATTACACTATGATGTTATTAATACTTGGTAGACAAAGTAAGTAAAATAAATGGTGAAAATGATTCCCAAATTTACACACAAAATTATTAATAATTCTTTTTCACTAATTTTTCTTCTCTTCTGGTTCCACCTCCCCAGTCCCTACCTAGGAAAAGTACATAATAAACAGAATACACTCAAATTTGACAAAGCAAATGATTAGTAAGTATTTTTTTCTTTTAAATTCTCCACATTATGCTCTGGATGGAAAGGTGTATCTGTTACCTCCTTAAAAGGGAAAAGCAATTTAATTCAAAGCCATCTTGCCATTATTGGTTTATTGCATTCTTTGTCCTTGCCTCACTATAATACTACTTTAGCTGTAAAACTTTACAATCTGAATACTAAGTTTCCTTTATTTCATTTGAAAGCTAGGAATATATATTTTCTCACATATGTATATTATACCAAATCCTATTACAGAAAAAGTTTGGGTCTGCCTACTAAAAAAATTTAAATAGACATTTACTTGTATTTCATTAAAATTGAATACTAATGGTTTTATTTTGTTTTAATCCTTAGTAAGTAGGGAATATTAACTTTATATTCTGTTGACTTGCTAGTTGACATACATTGTCAACATATATCATCATTAAAACATTCTGCTAGTTAAAATATTTTCAATATCATCACTGAAATAGAAATCTTGTATTCTCTACTCAAGCACCACAACAAGATAAAAAGGTAAACAACCCAATCACAAAATGGGCACAGGATATGAACAGACATTTCACCAAAGATGATGTTCTTTGTCAAACAAACACATGAAGAAATGTTCAAATTCCCTAGCTCTGAGATGCAAATCAAAACAACTATGTTGTATCATCTCACCCCAGAAAGAATAGCAAAATTCAACAGAGCAGCAAACAACAAATGCTATCAATGTCGTGGAGAAACTGTGACCCTTGTCCACTGTTTGTGGGAGTGTAAAACGGTACAGCCACTATGGAAGGCGATATGGCACTTTTTTCAAAAAGTTGGAAACAGAAATGCCATTTGACCCAGCAATTCCACTACTGGGAACATATCCTAAAGAAACCAGAACTACCACCCAAGCAGATATATGCACACCCATGTTTATTGCTGCATTGTTCACAATAGCAAAGACATGGAAACAACCCAACTGCCCAACAACAAATGAAAGGATAGAGAAACTGTGGTGTATTCACACAATGGAATACTACGCAGCACTGAAAAAATAAGAAACTCATTCAATATTATTCAAAATGGGTGACCCTGGAGGACATTATGCTGAGTGAAATATCTCAGTCACAAAAGGACAAATACTGCATAATGCCACAGTTCTTAAACAGGACTGATATCGGGGTTGGGAGGAAACAAGAAAAGGGGATAAATAATGTACCCTGCACTGAAACAGATGAGGGAGAGACCTGCTTAAACAGAGTATATAATTAGGTATTATATGCATGACAGTAGTCCAGAATAAGAGCTGCAAAATAAAGTGGACTGGGAAGGAGGGGAGGTGATTGTATAACAATGGAAGTTTGTTCCTTTTCAAAAAGAAAAATGAACTGGGCTGGGGGAGAGTTGGGCAGGGAGTAAAATGTGCAAGAATCAATGAATGGAAATCCATGTTCTCTACAAACTTTCTTTAAAATCTCATTTAAAAAAACCCAAAATGGAAATAAGAGATCCTGCATTCTCAAAGTCAGTGATTATGATAAAATATTAAGATTCTATTATTTGAAATAAAAATTTCTTTGTGAAAAATATTTAAGACATTTTTGTGGCAATTCTTGAACTTGAATTGACATGAAAAATCATTCATTTCTCACCAAGAAAAACTGTTTTATTTATTCATTATTTAGTTGTATTTTTAATATATGTGGTCATTTAATAATTCCTTTTATATATTTCCATATAAACTTTCTATCTTAATTTTGTCAAAACTGCTCTGGTAGAATTTTTAACATTCCAGCAACCTGATAACCAAGCTAATAAATTCTAGACCTCACATATATTTACTGTATTAAACATGAAATTTTAATGAAAACAGAATTTTTCTAAATTAAAAGAACTGCTTAAAGGAATTATATGATTAATCATTATACATATGACAACAGCCCAGAATAAGAGGTACAATGCAAAGAGGGCTGGGGAAAGGGAGGAAGGGAGGCGATTTTACAACAATGAATGAATATTTTTTTAAAAAGTAAACTGGGAGGAAGAAGGGAAGGAGAGGGGATTAAAATGTTTAACAATGAATGGGTGAAAATCTAACATATCTGTAGATTTTGTTAAAATCACAATTAAAATTAAAAAATTTATTTATAAATGAAACATTTTACTTACTTTTGAAGTACCTTTTGCCTCTCTTATTTGTCTTGCTATTCCTTTATCTCCACACTCAGGTCCTATTAGTTCTAATTCTTTTTTTTTTTCATTTTGATGTTTGATTAGAAAACAAAACATTATTAAATTATGTAAAATTACTGATATTTTCATTTTTTAACCTAATAAATAGAAGTTTCATATAGGAATAGTCAATTATAAAGAAAATGTCTTTGAAATCATCATATAAGAAAAAGAGTATTATTAGCTATTCTAGAAGCTTCTATATTTCCCATATCTTCAGAGTCAAAGGTAAAATGTATCCTAAAAAAAGGTATTTGCAATGAATAGATCATTGTATGTACAAAATTAAAAAGAATCAAACCCAAAGTTAACAACTATTCTGACTTTTACTTTGTGTACTTAAAAATCTTTCTCATTTTATCACCTATATAAAGTATTCCTGACTAATATAGTTTCTTTTTCCTGTTTATGAAATAATATCTATGACTCATGCCTTGCTTCTTCTGTCTAGAATATATTTATCTACATCATTGCACATAGACCCAGTTCATTTATTCTTACAGATATTAAAGTATTTCATGAAATTAACACAATAGATTTGTCTATTCTATCATAAATAGATTGAATAGGGTATTTGGGTTAGCAACACAATCTGCTAGCCCACCAAAGCCCAGTAGACATTTGAGATGTTACTGACTTCAGGCTATTACCATGATGTCACGAACATTCCTTAAAAAAAAAAGTGTACTGGGTAGGGGGAAGGGAGGGAGAGGCAGACACAACGGAATACTATGCAGCATGAAGGAGCAATGATTTTGTAAATTATTACCTAACTTGGGAGGGACTGGAAAGCATTATGCTGAGTGAATGGACTCAGCCCCACAAGGATAAATATTGTGTAAAACCATTATTGTAGAACAAGTATAAGGATCTAAGAGGGGTGGGAAAGAGTATAGGCAGAGGGATGAGGATGTGCAGGGAGAGGGGGACTTAATTTTATTCATCATGGGTTTGTACAATTTGATGAGGGGTGAGGGAAATGTAAAGAATTTCTTCTAAAAATGATGTATTCAAATTTTGTAAATAAACTAGTATTGTTGTTGTTATGTGCCATCGAGTCGTTTCTGACTCATAGCTCTAAACCCTGCTCTATCCTGCGCCAACCGCACCGCCTCTGACACACCCATCCCGATTACCCCAGTCACCGAATCAATCCATCTCATAGAGG